ATGTGCTTAAATATTCCTTCCACCAGTCTTGTTTTAACTTTATGGGTTTTTTTTGTCACATAGAAATGTTTAATTTTTAGATAGAATATATGTCAATCTTTTACTTTATGTTTTCTGGAAGTCTTGTTTTGCTAAAAATTATAGTTCTCACCTCAATTCTATACACATATTCTCTTAAGTTTTATTTTAACATTTTTGTTATTTTGTGTTATAATTATTTACTTAGGTCTCAAATCCACTAAAAACTTGCTTCATGCAATGAAGGAGGAATTTAATGCTCCTGCTATGTCATGGGCAATTTGCTTGAATTACCTGAGCCTCATGTCCTTCATCGGTAAAATGAGTACAATAATACCTACTTCATAGGGATGCTTTAAGGACAAAAATACAATAAGGTACAAAAATATCTACTGCATTTCTAGGCATATGGTGTATACTTCATAAATGGTGGAAATTATTTTGTGAGACTATATAGTGTAATGGAAACAATGAGACAGACGAGTTATTCTGACTTTCTGAGACTGAGTTTTATAAATTAAAAAATAAGTTGATGTGAAATTAATAAGATAATATGCAAAGCTTCTAGCATGTATAAGGTAATCAGTAAATGAAACTATTACATTGTTATCATTTCCATTATTACTACTATTACTATTAGAAATATTACTGCTGTTAATACTGATATGCATTAAAGAAACTTACCAGATAGGAGTCAGGATACTTGGGTTTTCTATGTTTTGTCACTGACTTGCTGTGCACCCATAACTCTTAATTCATCTCGATTTTTATTTACATATAAAATGAAGGGATGGCCTAGGTTAGAACAAAGCTGCTGGTATTGACACCAAGCAGAATAACTGCCTGGCTGCATTTATTTGGAGTCCCTCGGTGGTACAAATGGTTAATTCGCTCAGCTGCTAAATGAAAGGTTGGTGGTTCGAGTCCACTGAGAGACACCTTGGAAGAAAGCCCTGCCAATCTACTTCTAAAAAATCAGCTACTGAAAACCGTATGAGCACAGTTCTGCTCGGACACTCATAGGGTCACCATGAGTTGGAATCAACTCAATGGCAACTGGTTTGTTTGTTTTGGTTTTACATTTATTTATTTAAAATTATTTAGAAACCCAACATGTTGCCAGATAAAATATGTCTGTGGGCTTCTAGTTTGCTATTCTAGATCAAGGAATTTA